TAACCAATTGAGTTTTAATGAATTATGACATTTAAACATAAAAATGAAATTTAAAAAAGGACTAAAATAGTATTTTATTTTACTTTAAAATTTACATTTGGAAGAAAATAAAAAATTAAGAATAAGTGCCAAAGTTGAGGCAAGTTCTAAATTCAAAAAAGAAACTAATAATATTTATGAGATTTCCAAAGTTATTAATAGAAGGTGGGTCTCGAAAATCGAAGAATTACAGATGAACTTACAAGGTAAGTTCACCCAACAATTGACCAAGTGTGGTGCCATATGACCATATGACAAAAGAGAAGTCAGAAGCAAAGAGAAGTCCGTCAACTTGCCTTGTCTTCTCTTTTGTCATATAGCACAACTGACCAAGTCAACTTGCCTTGACTTCTCTTTTGTCGTATAGCACAACTGACCAAGTAAAGAGTTAGAACGTGGTGCTATATGACAAAAGAGAAGTCAGAAGTATCCACTCGAACTTGTCTCCAAGCTGATGGAAGATGTCAGCAAGATCCAACGACTGACCAAGACAAGATTCAGAACCTGGTGTCATATGACAAAAGATCTGCCATATGACAAAAAGAGAAATCAAAAGCATTGAGAGGCAAGTTCACCCAACAACTGACCAAGTCAAGAGTCGTGGTGCCATATGACAAAAGAGAAGTCAGAAGCATCCACTCAAACTTGTCTCCAAGCTGACGGAAGACGTCAGCAAGATCCAACAACTGACCAAGTCAAGAGTGAGAACCTGGTGCCATATGACAAAAGAGAAGTCAGAAGCATCTAGAGGCAAGTTCACCCAACAACTGGCCAAGTCAAGAGTCGTGGTGCCATATGATAAAAGAGAAGTTAGAAGCATCCACTCGAACTTGTCTCCAAGCTGAAGGAAGACATCAGCAAGATCCAACAATTGACCAAGTCAAGTGTCAGAACGTGGTGCCATATGACAAAAGAGAAGTCAAAAGCATCTAGAGGCAAGTTCACCCGACAACTGACCAAGTCAAGAGTTGTGGTGCCATATGACAAAAGAGACGTTAGAAGCATCCACTCGAACTTGTCTCAAGACTGACGGAAGAAGTCATCAAGATGAGCATTATGACAAAAGATAGTCAGGTGCTTAATAATTTTATACCTTTATGAAATACAACCAATTCCAGCGAGTCGAGTCGACAACAGTCAGAAAGTTCGGATCGTCATCGGGATGATGCTAATATTGAGTAGGGGAGAATTTCACAATTAGTGGAGCGAATGCGCCCCGAGAAAGTCATCGAGGACCAAGACTAAATTAAGTGGGGGAGAATGTCATTATTTGCAATACGATTGTGCCCGAGTATGTCATCGAGGACGATGTCTAAATTAAGTGCGGGAGAATATCACAACCATACAATGAAGAGAGTAGGTTGTGACCGTAACAATTCGAGTTTCTAGAATAAAATAAAATAAAAAATTAAATGTATTCTCTCCGGAAATCAAGGGATTTCAGACTTTTATTACCTAATAGAAACATTCCTATTTCTCTAAGTTTCCTTATCCTAAACCGTAAAATGCCTTATTGGGAAATGTCTTGACATTCTATTTCCTCTCCAAACTTTCCTCCGGAACGTTGGGGTTGCTCTTCGGAGGAAGAATCGAGTGGAAGTAAGGTATTGATGTCGGGATCATTGTGTCAAAGAAGGTTGACCGTCGAAAATCGATGTTGAGGACGTTGTGGGATCGTCGGCGCGTCGCTGAAATCGGGGAGGCGGAAACTAGGGTTTCGTCACTTGTCGGGTAATGGAGGCAAGGTTTTTAGAATCGGGTCGAGCCGCAGACGCACGCCTAATAGCTCCGGCAGCTTCGCACGCATATACAGTGCGTATGAAATTTGTAACGCCCCAGATCCACCGCTAGCAGATATTGTCCTCTTTGGGTTTTTCCTTCAAGACTTTAAAACGCGTCTACTAGGGGAAGGTTTCCACACTCATTATAAATGGTGGTTTGTTCTCCTCCCTAGCCAATGTGCGACATCACGATCCACCCCCCCTTCGGGGCCCAGCATCCTCGCTGACACTCTTTCCTTCTTCCAATCTATGTGGGACCGCCCCCAAATCCACCCCCCTTCGAGGAACAGCAAGAAGATTTGCACATTGTCCGGTGTCTGGCTTTGATACCATTAGTAACGATCCAGATTCACCGCTAGCAGATATTGTCCTCTTTGGGCTTTCTCTTTCGGGCTTCCCCTCAAGGCTTTAAACGCGTCTACTAGGAAAAGGTTTCCACACCCTTATAAAGGGTGTTTTGTTCTCCTCCCCAACCAATGTGGGACATCACAAAATCGGCTCGGTTCCATCAATTCCCGCAGCTCGATTTGGCGGCTTAGTTGGTCGGCTCAGAAGCTCAGCTTGATGGCTCGGTATCACTATAATATATCGATTCCAAGGTTTTCAGCCCTTCCGAAGCCATTTATGCCCTTAGTTTTACCATCTGAGGTCAAAATGATTCCTAACCGTTAAAGACAGATTAGGTCGGGAGTTTATTTTGATAAATAGCATGAGATTTAGCTAGGGTATGTTATGAAAGGTTCCCAAGTTTTTATGTGGTTATTATAGGACGTATTTAACCGTTGGGATTAGCTTGTCGTGAGTGACTTCGGCCAAGGCCATCGAGGTAAGTGACCTTACTGTTTGAGTTAGTTTACTACGTGTGTTGTATGATGGTGCGTGCCCTATGGCCCCTGCATGCCCATGTTTTATTATGTGATATAACCATATGATGTATGAATTATGTGACTGTTTATGCTATGAAACGTAATGGATTATGTTGACTGTTGACTGTTTATGTTATGTGAAATTACGAATAATATGTTAGTAATATATGTCATGAAAATGTCGATCGATGCCATGGATACACGTAGTATTATCGAGTCATGTCATGAGATGTTTATGCAACTTGAATGTACTTTCATGTTATGTAATATATCATGTAATGTAAGTCATGTGAGATTTCATGTAATGTAAGAAACGTATATGCGATGATAGCACTGCTTATGTAATGTCATGTTAGATATGTTAAGGGACCTCATGCATATATGTATGTCACGTGCATCGGAATTCTTCCCCTTTATGATACGAAAGAATGAATTACGATATTTATGTTCGCCATGATATCATGCGAGCCCTTTTCTGTTCTGTGGTGTCCGGCGACATGTAACACGCTGTGCTCGACCAAACCAGGCCTAGGGGGTATGTATACGAGCCCGCCTGGTAGGTCCATGTACGCGTACATAGGCCGTGTGTGAAGGAGTACCACACATCCAACCCTACCCGGAATAAAAAAGCGCCCAAGGCCATGTAAAGTTTATGAAAAGTTAGGTCCCGCTCATATGTTGCGTGTTTTCATTTCTAACCCCAACAGTGGGGTGACTTACTAAGTATTTCATAAAATACTCATGCATGGGTGGCACCACTAATTAGGTTTAGAAAATTAGGGGCGTTACAGTGACCCTCACCTCATGACAAGCAAATTGGCGTCCCTCAAGAGACGCCCATCCGGCCACATGCGGGCCAATATAGAAGAGTGCCATGATGCGATCGAGGAGGACGATGCATCATCCAACACACTACCATGCGAAGTGGGCATTGAAGACAAGTTGGGACATAAGCAAGAGAGAGACATTGAATAGACATGAAGACTAAAGATAGGCTTGTGTAAGGGCAGGGTAGGGCCTCGGGCCTTAACCTCAAAAAGTCGGGATTTTAGAAGGAATTTGGACATGCGGTTCGGGATTTAAATCCATCCATATGAAATATGAATGCTCACCAAGTTTGGTGTCAATCGGACATCGGACGGACAATGCACGACACCGTATGACCGTTCACCAAAATCATGTCTACGCCTGAAAATTTAAAATGGCTCAAGATGTACTATAGGGGTACCATGGTGTTAACTCTCCACCACCCCTGGGTCCTGTGGTCTAAGTGAGCTACCCTGTGGCACATACACGTGTATCACAGTGTGGGCGAGCGTGCTGAGACGAGTATCTCGGGCGATTTTCTTTAAAATGGATTTTTGAAGGACAGTACCGGACGGCATGGGTGTGCCGGTATTGCGCCCTAGCCCGCGTGTTGGAGGTTGCTACATACACCCGCTATCCGGTACGGTATTCGTAAATGACTCTGCATGGGCACGGGAGGGCCAATACCTCTATAGAACCCAGATGGATGGATGTTCGGGAAGTCCCAATAAGATGAAAGACACGCGGGCCCATTCTCGACGGCATGACCGTGCGAGTTATGATGGCCGACGACATCCCGAGACTCGGGGTGGCGTCAAGATATATAGACCCGTCTATGGGGATCGAGATGACAAATGAGATGCCCGTCTATAAATTTTTTATTTTCTTCCAAATGTAAATTTTAAAGTAAAATAAAATACTATTTTAGTTCTTTTTTAAATTTCATTTTTATGTTTAAATGTTACTCTTTTTTTCATAATTCATTAAAACTCAATCAATTGGTTAAACCATTTTTCGTATAATAAAGAAAAAATGCCCATATTTTCATTTTTATTGAAAAAATTATTAATAGATTCATTTTTTTTTAGAGAAATTAACCAAAAAAAAAAATCCTAATAATTGAGTAATTTATTTAGAAATAGTGGAGTGATTGGAAGATTTTATTAAACTACAAATATTAAATCATTGTAATCTCAACTCAGTCAAACGAAGAAGAGAGCGAAGAAGAGAGAAAAAGAATCGTTTTATTCAAAATCTTAAAATGAATGATAAATTAATGTTTTTAAACATAATTGTCTAAGTTCTATCCCTTGGTTATCCAGGGATTACCACGAATAAAATCGAAATAGCGAAATTCTTGGGTCATCTCAATGGGTTCAGAAACCACACGTTTCTCTGGATCATCATAGCGTACTTCCACATATCCACTCAAAGGAAGGTCTTTTCGTAATGGATGCCCCTACTCAAAAAGCTTAACTCAGGAACTCTAAGAGCTCTATTCTCTTGGTTTTAGATTTTCATCAAGGCACCCGTGTAGGATATTCCGGTGTTCTTGATCCAAGAATCACCATGAATAAACAACGAAGGGGTGAAATTGATGGCCTCTTTTGCGGTGATCTGCTTAATTCCCTTCCACTTAACTCTATTTTCTTTTGCTGCACCAGGTCCTCTGTTGTCAAACTCCGTGTAATACAAAGTATTGAGAGCAAAATCACCATTCCATGGAAGCCAACCTTCAGGCTGGATCAAGTCGTCGATTTGGCTTTGCATGACGACGGTCCTTGAATATTGCTTCCATGGGCGACCAAGGTAGGACTTACTGGTATGGCGAACGGGGTAGTAGTCAGGGTCGGAAGAGATGGTGCAATTTTGGAGGACGATACCAGTGGGCTCATCACTCTCCATTCGACCTTGGGCAGTGATAGGGCATGGTTGTTTCGGCTTTGGCTTCCTCACTAAGATCTTACAGTTCTGTAACACGACAGCAGCATTGCCAAAGATGAAATCAACGGTACCGGAGATTGTGCAATCTCG